GGGCCCTGATGATGTTGTATAGAGGGATCATGGAGCAGGTGTCTGACTGTTGCTTGATACTGTCATTTTTATCTTGTATTCGATTCCTTTCCCACTTTAACATGTATATGTGCAAATCAAAAGTCAACATTCTATGGTTTGCAGGATCCTTTGCCACTTGTACCACCAGGTTGTTCTGCTGATAAACCGGATGCTATACAGGATTTCATTTTGAAGGGGAAAGCTGCGCTTGTTTCTGTTGGAATAATAAGAGACTCAGTTCTTGGTACTATGTTTAGCTCTTTGAATGAATCAATTTAAAGTATTGTTAATGGAGACAAATGAATACTAGCATAAGAAGTTTATCAGGGCTATGTAAGTCATCACAGCCTCTCAATCAAGGGCTACTAGACCAGCCTACTATATATCAGGGCTATGTAAGTCATCATAAAGTATTTTTGATATTAGACCAGCCTACTATATATGTTGTTCTTTCGGCCCTCAATAGGATAATAAGGTAAGGTCTAGCCCCCTTACTTGTACTTCCTCTTTGAGTTTTTTAGTATTAATAAAAATGCCCACAGATGCTCCCTGCATAGGTGGTATTGGATTTAAGGATAAAAAAGAGATCACTTATTAATAAAGAAATGGACATTGGGCATAATTCAATCCCGAAAGCTAGAAGGTGAGGATTGCTCAAGCCATATAAGGAGACCAAGTCCCCCATCCCCATCCAATGTGGGAGACTCTCAACACCCCCGCCCTCCCAACCTGCACACCTAGGCCTGCCAACTGAAGCGTGGACAATATAATATGGGGGTCCGACATCGGCGTAACAAAGAATTGGGATGTGTACGGCTCTGATACCATGATAGAGAATGGACGTTGGGCCTAACTTAACCACAAAAGCTAGTTTACGAGGTGAGGATTGCCCATGCCATATTAGGAGACCAAGTCCCCATCACCATCAGATGTGGGAGACTCTCAACACTTATTAAGTTGGTTTCTATAGCTTGGAGGGCTTTTATTAGAGACTCTTAAGAATTTTTATATTTCTGTGCTCGCACACATGGTTGTGCATACATTCATGCATCTTTATGGCCGGTGGTGTTTGTCCGTGTTTCCTTTATATGCTAGGAAGAATTGTTGTCCGTTGCTGAAGACCGTTAAGTTATCCTTCTTAAAAAAATAGTCAAACTTGTTTGGGTTTGGTGACTAGCATTTCAGTGTTCATCCTCTCATCCCAAACTTACCCTTTTTCCACTCTTTGCTTTTGCTTATCTTTAAGGTAATGGAAAGGACTCTGGAAAGCTTTCTGGCCGTATAGTTGATTCGGACATGCATGATGTTGGGCGTTTCCTTAACAGGCTCCTGGGATTGCCACCTGAAATCCAAAATAGGTCTATTATCTATCAATTTAAATATGTATGCTTGCTATCCATGACTGTAACCAAAAGGTTTGTTTTGAATTCAGGCCTTTTGAGTTATTTGTCAGCATTCTTGATCTTTTAGTTCAGAATGCACGCCTTGAATGACATTTAGACTCTGGAATTGTTGATATGAAAGCTACCACTGTTGAACTGCAAGGGATGCCAAAGGTTATGCTGTTCCTGTTTTGTCTTTGCATTCTTATATAAAACATATTGTGACATCAACCTATTACAGACTGTTCATATTGACAACTTGTCTGGGGCTTCAACCATATTGTTTACTTTTACATTGGACCGTGGACTCATTTGGGAGGTATATATATATATGTATATATTACCATTATAAACTTGAGTTAGATGGCTAACTTCCAAGTTTGCCTTGTAACCTTTTATTTTCCACCTGTAGTCAGCATATGCGTTGCTTGCAGAGAAGCAAAAGGATGAGTCTAGTTCAACTAATAGTGGATTCTATGAATCCAAACGAGAATGGTTGGGTAGACGGCATTTTCTATTAGCATTTGAAGGGTATGGAAATTTTTGGTCGGTAATTTTGTTATTTCTGTATATTGGTATTTTGGTTTGCAAGTGCAATCAACCTTATTCAACTGGGTATAAGGGACCAGGTTGTGTTTCTTTTGCATGCACAAAGGATTATGTCTACTTCAATCAGTCAACTACATTTCAATCCCGATCCCAAATCAGCTGAGCTTTATGAGTGATTTGTACCTTTTCCGCTCTATCCAAGTCCATTTCCCCGTGCATAGCAGGAACTTAATGCACATGGCTTCCCTTTAAGGCAACTTAAGGATTTTCTATATCTCGCACTTACCTTACATGGATAACTAATTATTTAATCCCAAATAGTTGGTAGAACTTATATAGATCCATTTGTTTTTTTTTTAGCTAAGTATGCATTTATTAGGAGAAACTTAAGGTTTTCTGTGACAACTTCTCTCCATGTGATTTTAGGTCTATCTCATCTAATTTTAAGACCTTAGATAATCATATTCAACTTAGGTCATAACTAGACCATCTCATGCTATCTTTTCTCATTTTAGCGTCTATTTATGCTTCTTGCATCTGCTGTTGTATGTGATCATTGTAATCTTGTTCAATCTTAAATGACTGTGCATCTATTTTAACATTTTCATTTCAACGGAATTCATCTATTTTAACATTACTGGCCTCACAATTGTCCTATATAACTTGTTAGGCATCTTCCAATCTCGTGAGGCTCTTCCATTTCAGAATTTTATCTAATTTCCTTGTTATTATTTGATGAAGGAATATTTTAGGAGAAAACCCCACTATACAGGTATACAAAAGAGTAGCGGACCTAGAGAAAATATGGTTCTCAAGAATGACATCCAATTATTTTAACCTAATAGACCTTGCGGTGGGTATGCAAAATATTCACCAGAAACAAAACATAACTCTTTTAAACTCTACAGATTCATATGCTTACTCAGTGGCTAGACAACTTTGGGCTCAGTTTTCTCGTATATTTGGGCTGAATTGGGTCATGCTAAACTGGATCTTCTGACACACTGCGAATCCCTTCTTTCTTGCATGAGATATTGTTATTGTGTGTTTAGAAGCTCTTCGTGAAAGAAGAATTTCTAGGAGTGAATTCTGTTCTACCAGTGGAGGTACAGACAAGATTTGTACCACAAAACAAGGGAACTATAAACCAAACTTCTTTGTTCTCGATAACTGTGATAGATGTTTATGTTTATTGGCATAAACAAGAGGATGTACATTTATACATAATACATTCTGTCTTACTTCTACTTCTCCTAAAACCCTTACTCTCCAGAGGGGTTCTCTACAGTTCCTACTTTTAGTTGGTTCCTTGCTGGTTTCATCAATTAACACAAAATTATCTACGAACAACGTGCACCATTTATACCTCATGAAACTTTGAAGTAAAAGTGTGCATTCTCAAGCTTTCATCTAGCAATTTGAAGATTTTGTATGAATTGGAAAGAGACATAGCGTGATTTCCCCTAGCTGGCCTTCCTTTCACAACTAATGCAGGCTCATGCATGGTCCAAGTCTTTTTCCTGTAGTTGGATTTTTTTTCTTTTATAATGTTCAGTTTTGACCAGTTTAAAGAGTGCAATGTTAATTTTGTTCATAAAAGTGCCTTCGGCCCAAATGCCCGTGATTTTGATCATTCTGTTTCGTGGTTATTTCAGTTCTACTTCTGGAATGTACAAGGTTATTCGTCCAACTGTTGGAGAGGCCCTTAGGTACTAAAGGATCGACTTTTAAGCTTTAGGTTAACTTCTTCCTTTTAGGAATTAACTGTTTCATGCTCTGCACCCTAACCCATCTTCCTCTTGCTTGTGCTGTGCTTTACTTAACACTTCTCAATGTCTAGGGAGATGCCCGCAGAATTGAATGACAAGTACCGGAAACTATCTTCCTTAGAAAAAGCCCGTTGTGGATGGGAAGATGAATATGATGATAAATTTGAGTTTATTTTTTTGATAAAATTTTGGCATTATTATTTTGTGATTATTGCGGCATATATGTATATATTGAGTGGATTGTTTGGAGTTTGACACGAGTTTTTTGCCGTGCGATTGTGATTGTAATTTTGTCAGTGCGGAGCAATACGGGTAAATATGGTGATTTATGCCATGGCAAAGCTATACGGTCGGATATTGTGATTTTGTCAGGGCGGAGTGATAAGGATGGCTATTGTTATTGTGACCGAAATGTGGTGTGATTCCATTTGATGACTTCTTGTTGAAGCTGAAACTTTACTTGCCTTGAATTGTTATCACTTGTTCTGAAGAGATTATTTTTATTGTTTTCTGTTATACTTTCTATTGCCAGACTTTAATATATTGCACAAGTTACCAATGCAAAGAACATTCTTCTACTAGCAAGATCAGAATGCGATTACCCTATTTTCTTGGTCATTGGTTGAGCACAAATGAAGTATAAGTTTGTTCTCCTTGATTTTATTATCCTTCTCTAAGAACCAGACACAAGAAGATAAACCTCTTATACCATGTTTACAGGCTGATGTTTACGTGAAACAAGTACAACAACCACCCTCAATCCAAACAGGTTGAAATCAGCCTCAATCTCAAGCAAGCTGGAATCAACGACTATATGAATATCATTTTCAAATAAGTTGAAGTTTGACTATATGAATATTAATCTCAAGCAAAGGAAATTGACTATATGAATATTAACGACAAACACGTTGGAATTAGCTATATGAATTTTTTGATCATGTCTTACTCATCATGTCGCTCTAATTTGTGATCATTAGTAGTAGTTGGAAGAAAGAACACGTACAAGTTTATCATTGAGGATTTAGCGAAGATGTATTCGTGCTCGTTCAACATTAAAGTATAAAAACAGGACATAACAACTAAAAAGCAAGAAAAATAAAAGGAAAAAAAGGGGATTTAATCATTTGAACCCACAACCTAAGTTGCTCCGATTCGGGGCGGGTGTCCGATATAGGTGCTGATCTAGAAATCGATTCCTTCATGATCTAAATTTTCAGATTCGGCAATATGGATTTTGCTAAAAAAATTTGAAATATCTAAAAGTAAAGTTATAAAAATATGTCAAAATTATGAGACACTATGAGGAAAACTTATAAGTTATTATGAGAAAGAGAAAATATTAATCAAGAGGAGAATCCAAAAAGGAAATAAACGAAAAACGATGACATAGATTCCTATAAACAAGGTATTCTATTTTCTTAAATTTCGCCCTTTCCCCCATCAATTTTGGTCAAAAGTACCCAAAATTGATTGACGAGAAGAGTCAGTGTATAGGCCAACAAAAAAAATACTTTTTCGACATTATAAGTGAAGAATCCGACCAACTTAGCCCACAACCATCACTTACTTCCAAGAAGAACCAATTACAGGGAAGTGATTCTAGTATGTATAAACTCAAAAATTAAGCAAGCAAATATTTCACAAATGATAACAAAGTAACCCGAAAAGGATCTTGTGAATAATACATACACCAAAAAGATTAAAGAAGCTAATATCAATTCATCAACAACACCATAATCATTTAGAATTATACAAAAATTAAGAAGAATGAAAAAAAAACGCAAAATGATAGATGAAGACTGTAATCAATGGAAATTAAGTCTTAACAAGGGATTTGATTGGTAAACCACTCCATAACGTGGATAGGGGCCTTTATCAACTCCAACGCCAATTCAACTAACAAAGTTACACATATGCAACACGGGCATATTATACTCAACATCAACCTGTACAAAACATATACTACAAAAAATCAACAATTCCACCGATCAAGTAAAAAAATGATCCAATTGCCAATTAAAAAAAAAACAAAACAAAATGAAATTAATGTATAAACATGAAGAGGCGCATAGGCGGATTCATAATTAAAATTTGAATTTTTTAAAATTTTAATGATTTTCACATATACTTAAATATAAAAAAATACTAAGTTCAGTTGAACGAGCGAGAACAAAAGGAGAGAAGAAAAACGAACCCGATGATCCAAACGATGACGCCGACGAGAGAGACGAGAAGAGAGAGGAGAGCAAAAGGGAGGCCTAGAAGAAAGGCCAACGGCCTGCAACCTTCTCCACAGCACATTTTGTATCTACTGTAAGTTTAAGCAGCGATTACTGTTTCTATTTTATTTTAGTATTCTGAGGAAGAGTTCCTCTGCAATTTGCTCCGCTTGATGTAATGTTTTCTATAGAAACCGTCTATACCACGTAATACATTCGATTTTTATTGATTTTTTAGTAAAAGAGAGTGATGCGATTTTGATGAGGAATAAGATGGACGCGTTATTTGCATTATCCTTTACGTGAAAGAGAGGTCTCTCTTTATATGAAAAATAATGAGGAAATGACACTGTATAGCTGCTATCAGAATAATAGTCGAAAAGATATATATATATATATATATGTTATATAGAAAAATATAAAAATTTTATATGTTTTTGCAGCTATCGGATATATAATTTTGGCCGCGGGTTAAAAGTGATCTTTGCCCATTAATAATAGCTTGTTTGACCAAATTTCTTTTGGGCCAAAAGTGTTTTTTCTTTTCTTTTTTGTTTTGGGATTTTTTTTTTTTCAAAGTTGAAGTGTTTAGGCTGAAGGGGAGCCTTGGCGTAGCTGGTAAAGTTTCTGCCATGTGACCAGTAGGACACGGGTTCAAACCATGGAAACAACCTCTTGCACAAATACAGGGTATATGGTTGCGTATAATAGACCTTTGTGGTTCGGCTCTTATCTGGATCTCGCGCATAGCGGGAGCTTAGTGCACTGAGCTGCCATTTGAAGCGTTTAGCTGCTTTTAGAAGATAAAAAATGATTTTGAGTGGAAGCAGAAGCAGTTTTTGAAAAACAGAAAAAAATAGTTTCTCTAAAAGCACTTTTGAAAAAATTACACCTAGAGGCAATTTTTAAAACTTGATCAAGTACTAATTGTTGCTCAAAAAGACTTTTTAAATTAAAATAAAAAAATATATTTATGAAAAGTACTTTAAAAAAAATATTTTCTAAAATAAATTGATTTTAGAAGCCCACCAAACAAGCTATAAGACTCTCTGCGTGATAATAATGCACTGCAAGCCAAAAGGTGAGACACGTGAACCCTACAGTTCCTTCAAAAAGCTACCAATTGATTGAAAGAGATCTGTGCGCAAAATTCGTTGCAACAGGTAACATAGATTAATAATTTTACTTAATTTTACTTATTTGTTCAATTTTACATAATATTTTCTTAGTGAACTTGTGTATAGTTAAAGTAATTTTATTGGAGTTTAAGTTTTAAACACCAGAAAGGTATATAGTTTTTGCATCATCACACAAGGTGTGTGTAAAATAACAGGTAGCTTTTCATAGTAAACTTGATATTATAATTTACAAAATTGAATATAATCTATGTATACGGGTAAAACCGAGCTCGATATTCGATCGAGCTTCCAAAACTCCCTGATTAGGCCAGGGTCGAAATATTTGTGATCGGGTAAAGTCGAGCTCGAAGATCGATCTAACGTCAAATACAATCAGCCAAGATCGAAACATGCCGATTAAGATCTAACCCAAAGCATTGTTAAAATTAGCCATCGAAACCATCATATTTGCCCTCGAATTTACCGAAGGCGTAACCGGTACTGTTTCTAACGGTGTCGAAGAAAGCTTTGCCAACTCATCCGACAGGGGTCCGTAATTCTCACCATTAACCAATCATTATGGCGGAAATCACAGAACGACTCAAAAAGGGAACCGACGGTTAGCAAATCAAGGACTTTTGCCTTTTATAGAACAATAAAATAATATCTCAAAAGGTAGATCTCCCCTAATATAAAAAGGGGACTTGACAAATTATTAAGGAGATGGTAATATATACTCACAAGCAGTACATTACCGTTATCCTAAAAATTCTTATTTCTTTGTTATCTTTGTGTCAATAAAAGTGCTTTCAACTCAAGGGTGGCTTGCTTTCCTAATCTGAAATCATCCAATTCATGTGGTTTGCAATCTAATTTATCGCTTTGTATCAAGTTAATCCGCATATCCTTTAAACCACTTACAAATTCAATTGTTATCTGATTTTAGGGGTAAATAGTTTGGCGCCCACCGTGGGGCTAAGGATATTAATGGTTATTTGATATAAATCTTCATAACGCACACTACTTTACGCTTGTTCTTTGAAGTGTCTTTGATTTGTGGCTAAAAATGCCAAACTATCAATCGGCACCCCTACATATCGACACCGAGTCCGGTCATCAAGGTGAGAATAACAACATGGCGCCCGGTAACGAAGGGCCGCCTGCTGATTTTGTTGGAACTCTGATCGTAAATCCATTTGACGTTAATTCACATGTGGTTATCGACGCAAACTTGCCTACCGACCCCGAAAATAGCGTCCGTGGTGAAACCCGATCGGCATCTCGAACCACACAAAATATTGAAGAATACGGTATCAGCCTACAGATGATCTTCGAAATGCTGCAAGCTCAACATGTGGCAATAACTCAGTTACAGAGCCAAAGTCGGGCACCGAGCAGGGTTCAACCCGATCTGCCCCGTAAAGCCATCCGCAGAAACGAACCAATCCTGGAAAAAATTAGCAAGAATGAATCAGGTACTAACCCCGAAATCCTGAAATTGCTCGAAGAATTGACGAAACGGATAGAAACAGAGGAAAAGAAAATCGAAGCCAATGATAAAAAGGTGGAAACCTACAATTCCAGGGTCGACCAAATCCCAGGAGCACCCTCGATATTGAGAGGCCTGGATTCCAAGAAATTTATTGAAAGGCCTTTTCCCCCGAGCGCGGCTCCGAAGCCGATCCCCAAAAAATTTTGCATGCCCGAAATCCCTAAGTACAACGGAACGGCCGACCCAAACGAGCATGTGACCTCTTATACATGCCCATCAAAGGGAACGACTTGGAAGATGATGAGATCGAGTCTGTCTTGTTGAAAAATTTCGGAGAGATCCTGTCAAAGGGAGCTATGATATGGTACCACAACCTTCCTCCTAATTCTGTTGACTCGTTTGCTATGCTTGCAGATTCCTTCATAAAAGCACATGCTGATGCTATAAAGGTCGAGACCAGGAAGTTATACCTTTTTAAAGTAAAGCAGAGGGATAACGAGATGCTCAAAGAGTTCGTATCCCGGTTTCAAATAGAACGAATGGATCTGCCACCGGTCGCTGACGATTGGGCTGTTCAAGCTTTCACTCAAGGACTCAATATTCGAAGTTCGGTGGCTTCACAGCAGTTGAAGCAGAACCTGATAGAATACCCGGCTGTTACATGGGCCGACGTGCATAACCGATATCAATCGAAAATCAAAGTCGAAGATGATCAACTCGTGGCCCCTTCGGGATCTGCCTATCCCGTCAGAACCCTCGACAGAGTTAAGAGAGACATCGACTGTGAACCAAGGCCAAACAGGGATCGGTACCAGCCATATAATGGAGATCGGAGAAGTAGTGGGCCCGGACGGAACTCCATGAGAAACGAAAGGAAAAATGACCGAGGTCAAGACAACCGGGGTCTCATGACAAAAAATGGCTTCGACAGGTCCGTCGGGCATAAAGAAGCACCGAGGCTATCAGAATACAACTTTAATATCGATGCTACCGCCATTGTATCACCTATCGGGCGCATCAAAGATACCAATTGACCTCGGCCTCTACAGTTCGATCCAACCCAAAAGGGATCCTAACCAGATGTGCAAATATCATGGCACTCACGGTCATAGAACAAAAGATTGTCGGCAGTTGAGAGAGGAAGTAGCCCGTCTATTCTACGATGGGCACCTTCGAGAATTCTTGAGCGACCGAGCCAAGAACCACTTTAGGAACATGGATTCTAACAAACAGACAGAACGAGAAGAACCTCAACACATCATTAATATGATCATCGGTGGAGTCGATATCCCACAAGAGTCGATGCTGAAACCCACCAAAGTATCCATCACTAGGGAGAAATAAACTCGAGACTATATACCAGAAGGAACTTTATCTTTCAACGACGAGGATGCGGAAGGGATCGTACAGCCTCACAATGATGCACTGGTAATATATGTAGTCGTAGATAAAATTCAAGTTAAACGTGTGTTAATTGATCCAGGTAGCTCGCCCAACATCATTCGCTCGAGGGTCGTGGAACAGATCGGCCTGCAAGATCAGATCATACCAGCGGTCCGAGTCGTGAACGGATTCAACATGGCATATGATACCACAAAAAGGGAAATAACTTTACCAGTAAACGTCATTGGGACAGTTCAGGAAGCCAAGTTCTATGTGATCGAAGGGGATATGAGATACAATACTTTGCTCAGAAGACCATGGATTCACAACATGAGAGCAATACCCTCGACATTACACCAGATGCTAAATTTTCCGATGCCAGGATGAACCAAAATAGTTTATGGGGAACAACCGGCCGCCAAAGAAATGTTCGCAATCGAGGAGGTGATTCCGACATCCACTCTCTCAATGACAAAGGATCCGATGGTCAAAAATAGGGCCAAATAGCAGTCACCGATACCAACCTCGACGGAATCAGAGTTTCGAGGGTCATACGAGGGCGAAGATTAAGGGATCCCCAGATCCTTCATAGCCCCTAACGATTCTGATGCTACAAAATCAATGGTCGAGGAACTGGAGCAAGTCGTATTAAGTAAACACTTGCCCGATCGAAAGGTATACATGGGCACGGGGTTAAACTCCGAGCTCAGGAAAAAACTCATTCAATTGATCATAACTAATGAAAATTATTTTGCTTGGTCCCATCTCAACATGACAGGTATCCCACCGGAGGTAATCACTCACAAGCTAAGCTTAGACCCGAAGTTCTACCCTGTCAAGCAAAGGAGGAGACCTCAGTCCGAGATCAAGCATGCTTTAATCAAAGACAAGGTATCTAAAATTCTTAAAATATGGTCTATTCGGGAGGTTAAATACCTGAATTGGTTAGCAAACGTAATGGTAGTCCCTAAAAAAGGGAACAAACTAAGAATGTGTGTGGACTACAAAGATTTGAATAAGGCATGTCCCAAAGACTCTTTTCCTTTGCCCAACATCGACTGTATGATCGATGCCATGACCGGACATGAGATCCTCAGTTTTCTCGATGCCTATTCCGGGTACAACCAAATACTGATGGACCCGGATGATCAGGAAAAAAATTTCTTCATCACTAATACGGCACATACTGTTATAACGTAATGCTATTTGGATTAAAAAATGCTAGTGCCACATACCAACGCCTAGTAAATCGGATGTTCGAGGAACAAA